TATATATATATATATATATATATATATATATATATATATATATATATATATATATATATATATATAGCAAAGACTATATAAAGACTACAATTCTTAATTCTGGACAAATAATTTTGGACATTCAGGGTAGAGAAATCTTGAGATATTGCTGTAGAGTTTTGGTTAAATCTCACTGAAAGTGGGATGGTGTTTCTTGAATATATGGATAATGCTGTTTTATTACATTCTTCATTTGACGAGTGTTTTTCAGCGCAAGTCAGCAATTCGAAGCGTTCCCAGATACATGTCGTTTAGCAACGTATTGGTTGTCATCCCATGCACTGTCTGACTATCTAAATGAAGTGATTTTGGAAACTATCGTTGCTTCTGTATTCCTTAAACCATTATCAGTTCAGCCGCCAAGGTTCCGTTCCTTCTGCTTTACATTTTCCCCTTCGTAATCATTAGCAAAGTGCTATTACTGTTGATCGAAGTCGATGGATATGTATAATAAAATTAATATAAGTTTCAATTTCTGAGCTATATTTTAATTTCACCTTTTTCAGAACACCATTCATTGGTTTCTTTCACTTTCTAACACTACTTTCTACGCATAACTGGCTAATCAAGCCCCTACTTGTTGATTTCGACAACGAATGGACAGGTCTACTATATTTTTATTCGTTCTTGGGATTTCCATCTTATACATATTCACTAGTTCTTTTCAGGAACCTCTGTGAAAAATGTGTAGTTTTGTATTTTTTTTCAGAGGAAGATGTAGATGAAATAGAAAAAGAATTTATCAAAATGAGACCGGTGCTGCCAGTAATGGTGATATGTACGTCGGTTGATAGAAGTGGTTGTCGGTGAGTCATTAATAATTTCAAATACTCCTTTCTATTTTACGTCAATTTTCTGGTCATCTACACGTTTCCCGTAGCTTTAATAAAAAAAGGATTCAGGTAATAATTACTAATTTTCGATCTTGTGCATGTTTATCGCCATCAGTTTCTATCAAAAGGTTAAACACCTATAGTATTTATTTGTTTATGATTTTTTTTCCCTTTCAGATGGACAAGAGAGGAACCACAACCTTTGATCTTAAAACGAATAATTGCGCTCGCCAAAGCATCATCAGCACTAATTGAGCAGCATATTAGTAATTTGGCACCGTTTAATTTAAAGGTTATTTTTTTTCTGCATTCTAGGATTTACTAATATAATAATGAACTATAGATAAAACTAATTTGCTCCCCATTATTTTTGTGCATCCTATCCTTTACTGTGGATATGCTACCTTCATAAATTATGTGTACATCATTTTCTCCTTGATTTGATCAATTGCTGTTATCAAATTGTTTGCAGGGAGTGTTCACAACCGATGTTTCCACTTTCTCCAATGTTACCATACATATTAGAGGGCGACATATGGTCAGGCGGAAAGTAGTTCGCGGTAAATTAATAAACGGGCCATTACCGGTAATTGACTATGATCCAGTTAGGGAATATGTAAAGCGTCTGCGACAGTGTTTCACTTCAGTTGCCCTTTTTTTCTACAACAAATACGTGGGTGATGTGATCGGCGTGGTATGGAAACCAGTTGCATTAGTACCACGAGATACAAGCGTATGTTACTTATATTCTTTCAGAGTGATTGCCAAGATCACTTGCTTTCCAGTGTTTTACGTATCACAATGTTATTAAACTGCAGGATATATTAAACAGCCAAATGTTGCATAATAATTCTTGGCGTGAAGTTGCAGCTAATTATGACCTCAGTGTAATCTTTTTGCAGATATCTAGTTGTTTACATCGGTTAAAAGGATTGGATGATAAGTTAGTCGTTAACACAAAAGCCATATTGGATGATTTCACTATGCTTGGTCATGGCATTGTCCGAGATGTTAGCCAGCATTGCGTCATTGAAGATGTAAAGAATACCACGAATTAGATTCTAGCGATGATTGCTTGTTGAATGCATTCTGCCTTTTTGTAAACAAACAAGTTATAAATTCCCTTATATTATTAAATGGGAGGAAGTTGGTGAAATGTAAAGATGACACATAGTATTACAGCATTTAGTTTCTATTATTCGAACTCACATCTGTCCATTTATTAAATCTGTATTATACCCAAAGTTCCGGGTGATTTACATTTCTGATGATTGTTGTTCTTGTTGTTGAATGTTAAATTGTGTGTAAGAAATTTCCAATAAAAAATTCTATCATTTTTTATCATTATTAGCATGATTTGTATCATAAATACCTGAGGAATATCTCACAAAGAAAGGAATATGAACGATTATTTAGTACAATCGATCGGTGATATACATCATATGCTGTTGTATGAAGATGAGTAGTTAGTATGTCTGAATGTCCTCAGTTCAAACTGAATATATGCGTCTTGATTACGGGGTTACCGTTCTTGTTGCAATCATAGATTTCCTTTTCCAGGAAAATGGACAATTTAGATGATTTGGCGAATTTAGCTGGCAGGTAGTTCAGTAACTGTTGCGCCAAACAGTACGATACGAGAGCATCCTCGATTTTCGCAGTACAAATATGTTGGACGAGCGGAAATAAGCCAAGAAAGGCGACGACAAGAGTTTCTTCGACGCCAGAAAGAGTATATGTTTTATGTTTGCCAAACACAAAAGTTGGAATTTGGATGAGAATAAGAGTTCCACTATCAAACTGAAGCGCGATTTCCTCTGTATTGAAAAGGTCACATTACCTTTGCTAAAATGAAAATGTGGTAATGTCTGTATAAGTAGACTTTATGAACGTTTTTGCATTTCTAAGTTTCTGATGATATTGGTGGAGCTTCGTTTATAGAGCTCGTTTTGATTATGCAAATCATGCTCGAAAACTGGCAATGAACGAATTTGATGAAGATATGAAGGATGAAGATGAAGAAGAAATGGATTCAGCAATGCCTGGTAAAGACAACAAGACGATGAATCGAAAAAGGAATTATAAGTATGCTGATGAACTGATGCTTAGTGAATGGTTGGTTGATATTCCGGAAAGCTTATCCAAAGACTGGATCTGTATACCGTGTCCGGTTGGTAAACGATGTCTCGTAGTCGCTTCTAATGTATGTGATTATATCATTTATTGTAAAAGCAAAAATGCGGTGAAATTTTTCCTAATGAAGAATATTTAATAATTTGGTCGTCATTCCTGTAATGTTCATAACTTCTCCGTCATGAAATGATAGTTGCGCTGGGTATATTTGAAAGAGTTTCTTATTCTGGTTCAGTTTTTTCACTTATAGCATGAAATTTCCATCCCATCATCGTCGTGTTATTTACAGATTTAAAATTATTATTTAGTATTTTTCATTACGAAAATGATTTTCCATTCTATTGTGGCTACTTACGTTTCCTATATTGTGGCTACTTAGTTTGATTATTTTATTACAGGACAATTTTGCGGTTATTTTAAGTCACCTGGCAGTTAATTTACATTTTTTCATAAGTGATCTTATATCAAGCACAACATATTTTGATAAACTTTGAAAATTATATGTAATTCCTTTGAAAAGAATTATTTATAATTTTTCAAAGTTATTCTTTCTATACAATCTGTCATTTAGAATTCTGCTGTGCAACGTAATGACACATATAAATCGTTCTATATTCATTGAATTGTTGCAGGGAGTAACGAGTGCTTATTCGAAATCTGGTTGTCGCATTAAACAGTTTCCTTCCTATCTTCCTGGTGGAAATCATTCTCGTCGCGGTAAGTCGATATGTCTCTAGATTTTATCTGCGTTGATTAAAAGGAATTTTCATTAAGAAGTTCTGTGAGAAGTTCCTGAGTAGTTCTATTGTCATATGATTTTGCATAGGTACGTATACTCTTCTGGATTGCGTTTTTGATGAAAAATCAACATTCTATTGTCTGGATATGATTGCTTGGAATGGTCTCACGGTTGCTGATTCGGATTTTGATTGTCGATTGTTCATGATGAACTCGCGCATCACCGAGAATAAAAATTTTAGAGAAGTTTCAAAGGAAATACCTGTTAGTTTTCACCAACTTACTTTTAGTTTCAAATGTTCTTTTTAAGTTATTTGGAATTGACTTTTACCCTTCACATATGAAGTGATGTTGTATTCTGTCTACCGGTAGTCTGGCTTCGAAAAGTATTTCAGTATCGTTTTATATGTCTTCCATATTGTCTTTGTGAACACAATTCCATGGAGGAAATGATGCATCGAGATTTCGACTTCGAAATTGATGGTGTACTTTTTTATCATGCTAGTGTGCATTATTTTAAAGGCCAAAGTCCACTTGGTTTGTTGCTTTTTCATTTAATTGCTATATTTAATGAGATTATTAGAATAGGGTATTTAATCAGTATACCGTATCTTATAATTGTGATGCTGCTATAGATGTGTAGTCGCACAACCGGTAGAGTTCACACAGCTGTTCAATTTGACCAACCTTTCCTAGATTGTAGACCATTTTTGGTAGTTTCGACCTAGACAGCTAAATAAAATGTCTGAAAAGATTTGTGTTTTGCAGCTTTAATACTACTCATTTTTTCTACATCCCAGCATCCCAATTGATAATGCGTTCGGATTAAATTTCATAGAAATAAAAAAATAACGAAAAATGAGTAAACGAAAAATGTCACTGAATTGATTTTCAGTAGGATGGTTGAAACCATGGATGATACCAGAAATTTTATCGGTTCCTGTACCAGCAAAGCTGATGAATGGAAATGAGATAGTAGCAGGCAGTTCACAGAAATTCATCGAAACGTATAATCAAGAGCACAAGCATGTTAGCATGATTGGTAAAACTCCCGAAAGTGTTTCCAGTTAAAGTAAACTTATTTGTTACTAAATGTGTAACACGATTCATTTTCCAATTGCAGTTTATGGATAAACGGGATGAATTGAGAAGTGAAGACAGAAGTTTACTTAGTATATTCACGACAAATCATACATTTGTTACTTTTAGATATTTATTAATATTGATTTTTCAATTCAATTTAATAATTTAATACTTCTTACACTCCTATTTGTGTTTTCTTCCTATATTCCTGTATTCCATTATCAGTCATGTCAGTTTCTTTGTAAAACGGCTTCTTCATAAATATCTTTTCAAATAATTATAAATGAATATTTTGTATATCTTACTTCGTACATCTTACATCATTGTATGTTTGAAAAATGTATTTCGTGATTGTGATTTCACTAAACACAAATGCACAAAAGTATATAAAACAAATGCTAAAAATATTCAAAATTCACTTTATTCATATGCAGAAATTCTATACTTTTTACCCGTATATTTATCCAATACTTATATCAATGTTTAATCGATTCACTTTCTTATTTGTATTTGCAAGAACAAAATGAAATACGTTACACGAAAGAGAAATTATTCTCAATTTTTCTCTTTTTTTGCATTGAAATTGTTTTTGCGATCGATATGGGGAAAATGAACTGTTATCAAATTGATACAGCCAAGAGATCATCGGAAGATTTTATGGATAAATTTGAAATAAATAAAATAATTTATACATTAAGCATTTTCAATATTACATTGTTGAACGTGTTTGAGCGGTCATTTCCATTACCTTACTTTGCATTGTCATTTCATCTTTAATATCAGGATTTATAGGAGTGAATTGTATCAATACATTTTGATATTTTGTGAAGTAAATTTTTATCATCAAACTGAATGATGAATAAGTTATGAGCATACAATATGGTGAACTTTCAAATTCATTGCAATTATGAGAGGTTGTCGAATTAAGCTATCTTTAAATATAATAATTTTATAATTACCTACAATATATCATCGATTTAGGATTAGTAATTAATATTTCTGGTGGAACATTCCTTAATTCATACATTTTCGAGAAATCACAAATAAAGGATTGTTCATGTTCAATTCATTTCATGGATTCAAAGTATAATAGTAAAAATTTAACCTGTAATTATTGTTTAAAAATTGGAAAACACTTATGCTCCACAGATCAAGGTTTATTTGGTCAACATCATCATTATCGTTATTGTTATGATTAAGAGAAAAAAGTTTTGAAAACTTTGAATTAACCAATTGCGCAAAAATATCAGAAGTAAATTTGTCATAAAACCCGTTTGTAATGGACATCTCAGAAAGAAATTGTTAATGAAATATAAATTTTTTTAAAATGTATATTGTTAACATTATCAAATTACAATCACCAGTTTATTGATAATTTCATATTTTTTGGTTAGTTCAAAAATTTCAAAAATTTTCAGAAAAAATTCAAAATTAAATTCAAATTTCAAATTTTCAAAAAAATTAAGTATACGAGTTGGAAAGAGTAGCAACAATATTGAAAGAAAAATTGGGAAATTTAAAAAATTCGCGTCATATCGCTCAAAAAGAGAATAAACGTTTGATTCAACAATCGAATCAGGTTATCATCCTTATCAAATCAGATTCTTGTAAATTTGTTGAATCAGGTTTCATTCTCATCCAATCTTTTACTATTGAAAATTTAAATGAAAAATTATTTCAATTAATGCAGTTAATGGAGGAAATTAGGCAGAAAACAGCCTTTGCGAAGCATTCCATCCAATCTGAGGATGAAATTGCATTTGAAATAGAAAAATGGTCGCAATTATGGTTAAGTGAAAATGGACAGGTAAGAAATTAGTATGGTTTTTTTTTTTTGAGAAAAAAAGACAAAATTAATTTTCTGTTTCTCTAAAAAAAGTGTCTTTTTTTTTTTAATTTGCTTTTCTTATTTCGAAAAAATTTCAGTTTTTCAGGGAAAAAAAAGTTGATAATGAAAAAAGATGATAGTTTTTTAGAAATAGAAATTAAAAATTAGCAACATTTTTTAGGAAGTTAACACAAGTTGATATTTTTCTTAAATTAATGAATTAATTATTTTGAATTGCAAATTAAGGAAATATTCGAGATTTAATCTTGAATTGATCACTTCATGATTACTGTAATTTTCAATTTATTTACCTGTTCTTTTACTTGTATTTCTATAATATACTTATTATTTTACCTATACTTTAGTTTCTTTTTTTTTTAAGCTTTTCACTTATATCTATTATCGAATTTCTACACAAATTTTGCTACACAATGATAAATTTTATTTGAATAAAGTTTCAACTTTTTCTTTCGATTTTTTCAAATCTTCAAATTTACTCAAATTTTAAAACTCATTGAGGTGTTTGAATTATTTTAAGTTTTAAAATTCATTCAAAATTAACCATTCATTTAAATAATTATTTTTATTCAATATAAAAAATAAATATTTTTAATTATAATTATTTT